TGTAAACTAATAGGTGTCTGGTTGGTGGTAAAAGCCATCCCTTGTATTAAAGTCACCAGTTAGGCACCAATTAAAGTGTCTAGTTAAACAGGGGTAAAGTTTGCTCCAAACGTTGTGGCATTTCTAACCATTTATTGAATCTCGACATGATTCGTTAACTTTTTCTAGCTATGTCTGGAATTTGACTTTCATAACAATCTTTCAGGACAAAGTACATGGTCTCTCTCTCTCTCTCTCTCTCTCTCTCTCTCTCTCTCTCTCTCTCTCTCTCTCTCTCTCTCTCTCTCTCTCTCTCTTTATTATTTTTGGTGTCCTTTGTAAGCACCAGCTTCATATGAGATCTCATTGTCAAGCATTTTGTCCAAAAAAAAATTTCAACCTAGGCTAACTCTAATTTCTTGGCAGGAACATTTCAAATTGTAAAAAAGTTCCAGGCTGGGTGTACGATAAGGAGAAGTTGATTCTGCGAAACAGAATCATAAACTAAACATTTATATTGAGTACCAGATCAGCAATGTAAGTTTAAATGGGCATGTAATAAAACTATATTCGTAATATTCACCATTAGTTTGTGACATACAACCGTTTTGAAGAAAGAAAGATAATTTGTGGAATTATTTTGTCATGAAAAATGAAAACGACGCTAAAATCAGTAACAAGATTCTTCGTGAATTTCCTTACATTTCTTAATGACGGAAACTATCGACGTACGGGTAAATTGAAAGAGTACAGTGGAACGTACCACCGGAAACAAATAACCGTGGTAAACCGGTATACCGGTAAAGACGCGCACCTCTATTAAATACATAGACGAAATAATGAGATAAATAAATTTTCAAGACGAAAGTTTATTAAAGCTAATAAACAATGCCATATTATGCAGTTGCTGAACATTTGCAATAGCCATGGGAGCATTGGACTCAATTATTGCACTGTGTACTTTTCGGCAAATCCCGAAATATCTATGCATCCTTGTCAGTACAACAGAGTTCGGATTATGATTTGGTTAAGGAGTGCATATTAAGGGGTTATGCGTTAGTCCCTGAGGCTTATCGGCACAAATTCAGAAACTATAAAAGAAGAAGCTGGGCAGACTTAAGTCGAATTTCCTAGACAAAAATAACAGTTATTTACGAGATTAAGCTCAGCCAAGAAAGGTGAACATGATTATGAAAGTCTTTAACAACTTGTGTTGCTTGAAGAATTGAAAAACTGTGTTCCTAATGATATTAGGAATCATCTTGAAGAGCAAAAGTTTGAAACTTTGGAATATGCTCGGTCTACCGTCTAAATGTTTACTGATGATATACTCTCGTTACCATTGAAATATCTGACCTTACAGAGTTAATACTTGGTGGAATTGTTCCACAGACATATATTCTCGTGCTTTTTCAGTGATCTTTATTTGCTTCTGTAGGATATATTATAATAAACACAACATTTAATGTTTTGAAAAACTGAATGACGTATTGTATTTCTTGTTGCAATCACCTATGACGTATTTTTAACTCCCAATTTTATAGTTTTATAGTGCTTAATGTAATTGTATTTTTATCTCCCAATTTTAAAGTTTTATAGTGCTTAATGTAATTGTATTTTTTAGCTCCCAATTTTATAGTTTTATAGTGCTTAATGTAATTGTATTTTTTATCTCCCAATTTTATAGTTTTAGAGTGCTTAATGTAATTGTATCGGTCTTGACAAAATTGCAGACTGATTTAAATTTGTGCAGATTAAGTGGGAAAGTTATTTACTAATGCCATTCGTAAAACTTAGATGTTATTTTAAAAGAGATTAAAAATGTATATCTTCTTAATTTTTTGCCTTTACACAAATGTTGAAAAAGAAACGACGATGACTATCATTGTCTCCTGTGTAACACATATCTTTGAATAATTCACTTAAATGTTTTAATCTCTCAATAGGTATTATTCATTCAAATTTTGGAACGACTCTAATTTTTTCATTAGCCCGATATTCATCAGTTCATTTAAATCAGACGAATTTTTATTCCTGTCGTAATTAAATTAGCTTTGACAGTATTAAACTTTCTAAATATTACATCATCCATGAATATCCAAAGATATTTTATTCTTTAGAAGTTCCAAATTAATCGTTAATTTAGAGAGTTGTTCAGTAAAGGTCTCTCTCTGACCATTCACACACACACACACACGCACGCACGCACGCGCGCGCGGTAGAGGTTGAATAACCTGCTGTGGATGGACTATTCGACTTGAAAACATGGTCAATAATTGTTTTATTATATTGAAAACACTAAGTAAGATTATGGAAATTTGAGTGGTGAAAAAATCTTTCTTTAATAACCGTTAGTGGTTAGAGCGTCCGCCCCGGATGCGAGAGGTCGTGGGTTCGATCCCCTGTCGAGTCATACCAAAGACTTACAAAAATGGTATTAACAGCTGCCATGCTTGACGCTCAGAATTAAGAGGTAAGTGTTAGGACTGGTCGGCCTGGTGTCAGGATAATGTGTTTGGGA